AAGAAAGCCAGAGACATAGAGATCGTTTATTGTAAACAGATAGTTGAGACACACAATGGACAACAGTTGCTCGATTCACTTTCATTCTAATTTCATTTCTCCCTTTACAGATGGCATATTCTATCTGAAAGAATTGACGTTTGGCTCGATCAAGCAACTGTTGTACACTTATACAAGAGAGGCTGAAAGTAACTTTATCCTGAGACAATTGGTTGTTAGAGACGATTGGTTGTTAGAGAGTGAAGAGGCTTGGCAAGGTAGAAAATGCAACCCTCGATAACGACATGCAGTTTGAGATTTCGCGTGAACGACTATAGCACTTGAGAATCACAGTATTAGGAGAATTGCGCATTGTTCTCTCGTATATAGTTCTTTTTTTTTGTTTTAAGATAGATCCAGGTAGCTATAGGTGAGAAGACTAGACTAGAAGTGAGAAAAGATAAGAGGGGAACGCGATTTCCTGGTCGAAAGTGAAAAACGTTCTTTTTACTTTTGTCACGATTTGGTAGAATAACTTTGATTATCCTTTCAGCGAGTGGAAGCACAGACGTGAAGTTTCGCGATAGTTTTGTAAAGAAATACAGAGAAATGTAAGATAGAAGCAGACGAAAGGAAAGAGAAATAAAGTAAAGGGAAAGACTCTGAAAAAGAAGAGACTTGGTAGAGAAAGTTTAAATACAGAGGAAAGAAAGAATAGATGTAGAAATTGGGAGAATCAAACTGAAAGAGAAACTAAGACAGAATAAAGAATTGGCATGAAATTTTTTTAAGAGACAGATCAAACCGATGTACAGATAAATACAGAATAAATTTGTAGGAAAGTTTGCAGTTTGAAGGATAGAAAAGTTTGAAGAGAAGGGAACGAAAGAAACGAAACAAAGCCGTACAAGTATGTAACAGACAGACAGAATGTTCTAAGAGATATTTACAAAGTTGAAGGGATAAAAGAATGTAGTTCAAAGTAGAAACGAATACAGAAGACACAAATAAAACATGAAATACGATTTTTAGAAAAGCTCAAAGAAATAGCGATAGAGAAGAAGAGAAAGAATAAAACTAATATTTACAAAGAGTGGTAAAGATAGAAAACAGTCGAGAGGAGAGAAATAAAGTGAAGTGTAATCGTGGAGAATAAATGAAAATAGTTTCGGAGAAAAAGAAGAGACAGAGAGGACAATGTTGAAAGCTAATAGAATATAGACAGATTATAGAAATGAGAAAAAAGTTAAACATCATGTAGTAAAAATAGACTAAATCACAAACTTAATAGATGGCAATAGAATGTAAAAAGAAACACATAATTAGAGAAAGTACTTGGAAGTCAAAGTTAGAGAAAGTAGACAGGAAAGTATAAAGAAATGAAATGTTTAAAAAAAGTTTAAAAAAATATATAGAAATAACAAAACAGAAGCTAGAAGAATGAAAAAGCAACTAAGAATAGCTTTGAAATAATGCGATTAGAGAAGAATATAAAACAAATAGTACAGAAATAGTTGTGAAAGTAAATCATTGAAGAAATTAAAGAAAGACAAAATAGCACCCAGGAATTATGGTAAAGTGCTACAATGTATTAAATTTCAGGTACTTCAGTATTCTCGAGTTCACGTAAAAAAAGGAAGAAATAAAAGAAAAAGTAAAATAAAATCACTGACTGAAATACGGCGAAAATAGTAGAGTAAGGGGACAGAAAATAGGTATGAAATTTGAAAAGAGAGTCTGCTATTGAAAGAATAAGAGAGCAAAGACTAGTTATAGTAACCTGGTATTTGTAATTGTAGCATCGTAAGAGAAGGTAAAATATATATGAGAGGAGGTATGCGAGGCAAGGTAGGCCCGAGAAAGAGAAAAGAGACGAAAAAGTAGTTAAACAGAAAATAATTCATGGCAAGTATTGAACAAATTTTGATATAGTAATACTGACGGGTATATTGAAAAGATTGAGAGAAAAGAGAGAAAGAGATTTAGAATTTAGAGAAATAGAATATTAATAGAGAAAAGACTGAACAAACAAAGACAAAGTAAAAAAAGAGGTAAAATGAAACGAAAGTGACAGAGTATCAGATTGTGGCATCAGTATGAGAAGATCATTTCTATGGAAGAAGAAATTTCAGGAGATTTTCAAAGTGAAAAACTGGGAAATTCGTATCAAAAGATAGAATGAAAATAATATACAAAGTGAAGAAGAAATAAAGGGAAGGCGAAGAAAGACTAAAGAAGAAAACATAGAAGTGAGGAATGTCGAAGATAGTGTACCAATTGAACAGACGAGTCTTGCAATTTCAGTGATCCGTGCCGATGCGATCTTATGTGTTTGAAGTGGGAGATCAGTAAAATTACAAGGCTTCGAAAAACAGAAATGTAGAGGAAGAGCTATCACAGAGCGTTAAATTCGTGGAGAAGGTTAAAACCGCTCTGATCGAACGTTTCTCGATTCGCAACATCGCCAAATCCAAATCCAAATCGAAAATTTAAATTCATTCAAAGACCAGCGAATTCAAACCTTTGGTTTGATTTCCAATTCGTCAAAGAATCTCAATTTTGTACTCGGTAGATTTCGGATCGATTTCGAATTTTCTCAAAGATATCAACGATCGATTTCAGATTTGTCTGCCGAATTTAACTGTCGAAGCAGCATTTTCCAGATGAGTGGTTCCATTACTTCGTCGTCATTGATGACTGCCCAAAAAACTTGGTCCAGTTTCGTATTTCCATTAATCTCAAAAATCCCAAATTTGGTTGCAAATTTTCCATCGTGATTTTCCTCGAGAGAACGATCTTCGGCTCTGTAGTTCGATTATTTTTTGGCAATTCGATATCCGGAGAACGTGACCCCGTCCGATATTTTCCCGGCGTCGACGAAAACAGCGAGCTGATCTCCAACCTCCACGTCCAATAAGATCAAGTTACTACCACCTCCTGCACCGACGCCGACCACCGCTCTCCAGCTATCGGAATTGTTCAGTTTCCTTTTCAGGGTGAGTCGGAGATCGCTGCTTCCATATCCGGCGAAACTGAACTGATACAGGCCTGGACAATGGGTGATGAAGACTCCTGTCTGGGCGACGTAACCCACGCCTTTGTCGACCAGTGTCTCGGCGAATACCGCTTTGGCGTGCTAATCAGAAATTTCGCTTTAAAAGCATTTGGACGAACTACATTTCCTTCGATATGCTTCGCATCGACATTTAGATAATCAGACTCACGTCGACAGAGGCCTGAGTTGCCGAGAAAGCAACAACGCCAGCACAGTCAGCGGCTGTTGCTAGTTTCAACGATCCGACAGTCGTGATACCGGAAGTTGGTGGATCCGGTATGGCCGCCTCCGCCAAGATGGATGCTGCTAGGAACATCACCAACCACACCATCCTGTAAACAAAGTTTCGTTACACGAAATTGTAACAACCATTCGCACGAACATCACCATCCAATTACGTTTTATTTTATTTCACTCGTCAGAGACAAGCAACTCGCGAACTAATGGCAATTCTTTACCACGTTTCCATGCGTTCGATGTAATTGCAGATAATTACGTTCGTGACTCACGTTCTATTTCCGACAAATATAATTCCACGTATAATTTTCGATTCTGAAAAATTCTCTCTCCCAAAGAAACAAAAAAGTGAAATAAAGTTACAGCAGCAGAAGGATCAATTTAATTGATAAAACGTTCAAAATGTTTCGTTCGAGATGAAAGAAAGGGGGACAGAAAAGTGATCATAGGAGTCACGCGCCAACGCCATCAGAGTAGAAATACAAAAATCGGCGACTCGTTCGTTACGTAATCGTAAGTAGGCGTTGGAGATATTTTTGTAATTTCGTCTCGTTTATTTTTTTTCTTTTTCTTTTTTTCTCGGCTCGGTTCGCGTTAAATCACTGGCCTGACCATTCTCGGCGAAGTTCAACCCGATTCGCGACTTTCACTGCTCCCGGCTACTTCACCTTTTTCACCTTTCCCCATTTTTTTTTCCCCTCTCATTCTTACTTCACTCGGTCGTTCCCTATCTGGCAATGCTTTCGTTTTCGGTTATCTCCTCGGTGAAATCGTTACTTTCTTAACGTTGAAATCATGGGAAATTATATTTATAAAAAAAAAAAAGAAAAAATAGAGAGGTAACGTGGATCAGGTCTGACTATTTATTCAGAGATAACGATGGACGTGATGGTAGAAAATATTCTTGTATGCATGTATTTGTATGGTGATGGTTTATCAAGTGGAGCAGAAAATTTAGCCGCAGCCTCTGTTGTCCCGCTCTGTTAATCGCGCGACAAAAGCAAGAAGCGTTCATTTCGTTAAGCACGATCTACCACACCGATTGAATTGAACTTTCTACTTTGTTTTCGGGAGAAAGTCGCGTTAAATCGCATCTAACTTTCAAGGCAGGCACTTGGTGATTTTTATTTGTTAAATCTTTCCCCGGACATACTTTTCTACATACAAGGACGTTCTTATTAGAAACAGTTTATTCTTCATATAAGAGAATAATATTTCATTATCCAAACTATGATAATTGGAATTCGCTGTTGCTGGGAGATTTCTTTCTTAATTAGTTCGGGGGCGTTAATGAGTCTAGACGCAGAGTGTGAAAAATGAATCGCGTGTCTTGAAACGAGCACAACTAGGCGTAGTGCACTTTTAACCCCTGGACCCCATTTACTTTGTGCGAGATAAAAATCAGAAATCCTTTCACTCTCGCGGCCTTCAAGGCAAGAATCTCACGTGCGACGCGTTTCTGCCGTCCACGTTAACCGAGATAACAATAAACGAGAGAATTCGTCACTCTGTGATACATTATCAACAATTACGCTAACGCGTTCGATCCTCACAACGATCGTTAAATCTACTTACACGTACCATTTGCGAACGAAATAGGCGAAATCGATTCGAATTGTTGTTTGACAATTAAGAGACGGACGCGAGTAAATTGATTCTTCTGTGTTTACTGTCTGTTTTAAAAATCTTTACAAAAGATGCCCGTGCGTATCACTGCTTCGTAAAAATATACCAAACTATCGTGGGAGAATCGTTGAGGATTTTCATTACGTATCGTAATTCGCAGAAACGATTTCCATCGTTATGAAATAAATCTTCTATAAAAGATTCCTTTGCTAGAGAACAGATTTCGTTGTTGTTATTCTTTAACGATATTAAAGGAATCTCTAGCAAAGGTTTTTTATTTAGAAATATTTAAGTGTTGAATTTTTTCTCGCGTCTCACGGCTCGATGATGTTGCTCGTCTTATGCAACGAATCTGCATACATCACAACGCGATATGCAACGTGATCCATTTATCGCGGAATATAAAATTAATGAGATAATGCGCGCCTGCATGTCGAGCGATTTTCCTGACACGCATGGGTGGTTCTTTTTTCCTCTTTTTTTTTTTTTTTTTTTTTTTTTTGCCAGGTTTCAGCACTGAGCAAAGTTGAAAAAAAAAAAAA